TAATAAGTATTGTGTGATTTTGAATAAATAAGCATTATATTACGTAGCTAATAAGCTACGCTAAAATGAGAATCCAGACCTCTACATTCTAAATAAAGTTTAAAATTATTTAGTTCAATTTTTATTTATTTATAAGGCTTTAGTTTAGTTATATAAGTAGTTTAGGATTATATTATTTATTTAATTTATGTAATATTTTAATAAATTATTTTCCCAAATTATTTAGGAACAGAAATTTTCAAAGATTGCTTTAAGAAATAAATACAGAGTTAAACAATTTTCAATTTGAGGTAGCCAAAAGGTACTTAATGATTTTTTTTTCATCAACAAATCAACGTTTGCCACGTTAAAATCTGCCGATATGCTTATAAGGTCTATATTATAACAACAAACCCGAATAATAATCATAAACCTCGTAGGCTAATTTCTATTGCAAGGTGGCAACCCTAACCAGCGCATTACCGCTCTTCAAAAACTTGTCTAATTGTCGCCTATTTAATCATAATTGTCTCCATTATTCGTAATCTGTGCAGAGAGAGCTCCACTCGTACTGTAGCCTAGTTGGAACACTTGTAACTATTTTTTACATTGGCTGCCATAATTTTCACTGATTTAGGGTAATTTAAACTTTACAACGTGGCGCGTGGTTTCAATATAGTGTTCTTGGTATTTTTATATCATATTAAATCACTCACTCAATTTGGACAATAGATCAACAGTCTGTAACTTACATAAATACATTTAAATCAACAACATAACGCTTGAAATCTTTTGATTGAAACTTCATAGGTGGTCCCAAAATCGGTTCAGTAATTTTTATAGAATCCTGAAATTGCAATTGAACTTAATTATACTTCATATTATGTAAACGAGAAACAAAACATAGGACACAAATACCAATCGGCACTCGCACAATAAATAAATACAAAAGCCCCAGTGCAATTAAACACTCAAAAAGTCGTCCAAAGTTCACAAATTCGAAAATTTTGCCACAAAACAGAAGTAATGAATTTTTAATCCGGCTCAAAGGACCATGTCTGAATGCGGACTAATGGCGGAGTGGAGTCTGTTAAAAACGTCAGATTCCATGATGACATCCGCACCTCGAGTGGCATTTGAGAATATGTGGCACAGACACTGTTATAAGGCAAACTGTGGTCTTATATGGTTGTAATTATGTCCTATTTTGCAATAAAACTTTAACATTTAATTCTTTGCTGATAAAAGATTGTTTAAAAATTGTACTAAAAGTCAAGTTAATCATCCTTCGTAAAAAAAATCCTAATGATTTCTTGTCATTGACAAAATAGTTACTCGTATTTTAACCACGGTCCAAGAAACTGGGTCTAAGTGCCTATTGTAATGGTGTAAATAACAAAATATTTAAGGTGCTTTAATTACTTAATTAACTAGGAGGTATTACAATAGAAAGAGACAAAGAACTACGAGTATTACTTCTAAAGGTGTTAAGTCAACATTTATATTGGTTTTAACATGCCGTCGTACCTACATTTTCAGTGTACACATTAGATCAATATTAATTTTATATTATTATTTTACAAAGTCAGACATAAATTACGTACGTAGCCGTCAAAATCCTTCACAAGTATTTGATACTAAGTGCACATTATACTCCCTCCATCCACGATGATTGCCGAATTACTACACTGCAGATTGCAGGCCCTCAAACTGCATTGCGCTTGATTAAACCATTGTCGGTGCTTTGTACATCGCGTTAATTACCACTAATTACGTGTGCAGGAAGTTGAACTGATGAAAAGAAATCTTGAAAGAGTTAGTGAGTTTTAAAATGAAGGGTAGTTTGAAGTTTTACTGGTTTCTGGTAAAATTTTAGATAATTACGCGTGCCTTACTCTACTTTAAAGGCCTCTGCGGTTTAGTGGTATAACCATCATGTCTTAGACTCAGAGATCATGGGTTTGATTCCCAGAGGGGGCAAACATTCTGTTCGGATTTGGTTGGTGGTAGGGTTCTTTGTATGTCCGCCTGGCTAGCTACCATCGCCTTACCTAAGTCTACTGCCCTAATAACAATGTTAACAGCATGGTTGTGTTTTACAATACAGGGTGTCCTAAAATTAGCACGTCACACTGACACTGGAGGTAGCTGAGTTTAAGACGCATCGAACAAGCTTAATATATCCATAGAAAAGTTTCATAAGTTTTAAGATATGTTTTATTTATTAATTTCCATAAAAAAGTTTGATGAGTTTTCAAATATTACTCATATTAGTTATTTTTAAAAATGGACTTAATTTACTTGTTATGTTATGCGTCTTAAGGTCATTTACCTCTGGTGCCAGTGTGACGTGCTTTGGGACACCTTGTATAATCTAGCTATACTCTCAAATATATTTTCTCACTAGTTTTATACCACTTAATTCAATTGATAATTGCTGTCTACTGGCAATTTGGCATCGACTATAAAAGTAAAGGATACGTAACCCTCAGCCAGACTCGCCTTCTCACCCTAGTCCAGTTTTTCCTGCCAAACTTGGCTCAAAATTGCCCACCCGCGATTGCCTATTAATATCTAACAAGTCTCGCCAAGTGCTCTTGCGCACACGTCTCCATTGTGCCGGCCCTTGCCAAGAGAACTCGAATTAGGGGTGCCAGTGACATAAAATGACCTGGTTGTAAAGTCGAACTTAATTTAGGGCAAAATCAATCGTCAGATATCTTTAGACTGAAGAATAAACTTGTCATTTTGACTTATTATTTCCCATTCTGAAACTGAGATTTATCTTTAGACTGAAGAATAAACTTGTCAATTTGACATAATATTTCCCATACGGAAACTGTCAATGTGCCAAACTTATTCTTCGGTTAAAAGTTATCCGACGACTGAAACTGAAGCTTCATTTTTGTGACATGGATAGTTGTTAAACTTGACAAAGCATTCAATAACACTCATCATCCGCCTCTAGAAATCCATTACTAGCCTAGTTGCATTAGGATGCCAAAGCAAGCCCTGGGTCCTTTGAATTCAGCAGTTTCCCGCATCCTTAACCGATTTAGTCATCAATCGAATGGGTATGTACCCTATATGCCCACACTGCGTCGTCATCCATGGTCTACATTCGAGAAACTTTTGGCCTTCCCAACGATATCAGTCCATGGTTTCCATCCAAGAACTTTACTTTGTCGCTTGTCAGTTCTGGAAGCAATGTAACATATAATACAATGTATCTTGTTGTATATTCCATTTGACACGTTGAAAAGCTATAATGATTTGGTGGTAAAGTCAGTGCCACATTAAACTAATCCTTCCAAGTGCCAGCCCTACCTCTCAGGGCGCCCACTATTCTTAAATCACACTCAACACAGCGCAAATTACTTTTAATCCTCTCCACAGAGGGCGCTGCTAAACGTGATTCAAATACAAAACTTTATTTTCTATTCACCACGATCGAAAATCGAACGGAGGAGATTTTAATTTAAAATCGCCGTCTTATTTGAACAATCGGGAATTAATGCCGTAAGTTAAGAGTGTTAGGGTGGTTTTTTGAATGGGGAAGAGTTTAATTTGGGTTTTTTGAGGTTGCAATGGGAATAGTGAAGTGCTATGCACTTTGTAATCAACACGAGTCTTCGAGGACACTTGAAATGGTCCTTCAATTCGGCAGGTCCTGTGTTAATGGAACTCTAGTGCCTACTGCTCAATTTAATTGGTGACGATTAAATCGTGATTAAATTAAGTTGCAAACCACACAAGGGTAAATCAGAAATTGAAACAATCATCAATTAATCACCCATTTGCATGTAATCACTTTGGAGAGTTTATTAACCAATGATATAATTAATTACAAAAATAATCTGCTATTGATGACTTTAAATTGGTATGTGATTCACACATACCAATTTAAAGTCATCAATAGCAGATTATTTTGATTATATTAAATGAATTCAATAGGAAGATTTTTTTTTATTAAAATTTAAGATTTAACGTCAACAATTTTACCATTGAATTCAAATTAAAATGATAATTAAATTCAGAAACCAGATTTCACACTGTATTTTAGTTAGTGTAGCAATGGATGAAAAATTCAGTAACTCAAAAAATGTCAACCACGAGCAGTAAAAATCCCGTTTCTTCAGCAACATCGGGTCCGAGCAAAGCGTTTAATTTTTTTATTGTGTAATTGGTGGCAATTTGATCCCCCCGCACCCCTCGACTACAATAGGTCGTAATGAATAGCAATTACGCATACGTGGTCTGTGAACCGCCACTCTGCCGATCAAACATCAACTTTAAACCTATGCAGCACGGCTCCATTTGCATCAGCCAAAACATGAGAATAGAAACAAATTGTTCCCGTATAGCGCTAATAAAAAGACATTGTGGGCGAGCGAAAAAAATGGTATAATTTCATAATTCCGGGTATTCCCGGGATTCCGAGTCGCAGCACTGGCACAAAGGGATTTGAGCCGAATTTTAATGGGAATTATTAATGATGGTAATGAGAAGTAATGAGAATATTCGAGGGCAATGAAGAATATTTGATTATGATGATAAATATTTACGCTTCACGCGAATGGGTTTCACTCGCGAATGGATTTAAAATATTGGTACCTATAATGGCTCTTTAAATAAAATGCATTAATGATGTAAGAAATATTTTTACATAATAAAACTTTCCTCTGATTACGATTTCAATTTATCATATTATTAAGTTCAGGCTTACGTAGCAAGTTTTAAGCTTTTACAAATGTGACTGTACAATATTTGCGTCAGTTTTTCTTCAAAAAATATCTTTAAAGACTATTCCCACCTCTCGTTCTCACCGCTGCAACTCCTGTGTAGCCAGGATCTACAGCTTGACCGCCAATAAAAACCAAACTAGTGAAGGTAAAGATTTTCCCACGGGGAGAGCTGAAAATCATATGATTCTTGCAAGCAGCCTTTTAAAAAGCACTTGATGTATTGATAAGGGGGTTATTTTGCCAAAGCACGATTACTAACAACAATTTCTTTTGCAGGTGTGGTTCCAAAACCGACGGGCAAAATGGCGCAAGCGAGAAAAGGCTTTAGGCAGGGACCACGCTCCCTTCATGCACCATGACCATGGTAAGATGCCCTTTTATGGACGTAGCACTTGTCAATCCGGAAAGGGATCGTAACCGTTATCAACTCGAGGCGATCAGTATTCTTTGTATGAAACTCCATACTGTAACGCACACTTATCCGCACCGTAACGTAAACGCCTCGCCTCGCGGTTGACAGCTCGCGAAAGGCGATACAGTGTTGATCCCTTTCCGAGTTGATAAGTCTGATATGACCTTTACTCGTTCAAGCTATCATCATTATTTAGCCTCCACTTCAGAAGCACGATACCCTCTCTAATTTAGTTAAGGCTAATGCAGGATTTCTGCGCTGCTAAAGCAGAATGCACACCAAATAGAGAACGGGCAGCAGCGCTCTCTAAAAACATCAATCTTTTAAACTGCGACCTCCAACCCACCTGCCAAGCGTGGAGATTATGGCAAAACCCTCCACTATAGTGGAGGAGGCTCATAGTCCAGCAGTGGACTGTAAAGAGCTGTTGATGATGATGATGATGAATGCAGGATTTGACGTACACTACCCATGCTGACAAGACTGGTTAGGGAGGACTGATGTTCGCTTATTTGTCACTTATGCCCGTTTTCCCAATGAAAATAAAATCCCTGTTATAAGTTACCATAGTACCACTTAAAAATTATTGACTGATGGTGAAAATGGGCATTAGTCGCCTTTTTCCACACCTGTGGGAAGGGTTGGGTGGTGGAGTCCTACTCTGCTTTCCTAGAACCAAATGGCCAAGCAATGCTATTTTTTACTAATATCCTCGTGGTGTCTCTTTAATTTGGTTTTGACGGGTTGAATTTCATCACAAACATACGTATGTAATGTCCAGCTAGCTTGCTCGTTAGTAACCATAAAAAAAAGTGATTTCAGACGAAGCGTTTCCATTTAAACCAAAAATAAAATAAGTTCCATAATAACTTACTCCCACTAAAACAATTAAAGGCTGTCGCTAACTATACGTCATTAGTGATATCCCACAAAAATCACGTCACCTAAAGTATAATTACAGTGACACAAAATACTTTTAATGTGTTTAGTTCGCCGTTATTGGTGTTATTTTGAGCGTTCATAAATATCGGATTATACGTTATAATATTTGGAGTAGAGATGGGACATTCTGTATCACCCACAATGCCTTTTATAGCACATTGAATTTTTAAAAAAATCGTGAGTTCTGAACTCGAGTTTGTGACAAACTTTTAAGTTAAAAGTACATACAATTAATTAGCACTTTATTATTATAGCATTTTATTATTACAAAAATAAGTAATAACCAAAATGCATTAATCCCTCAATGTAAGGTAATTTCTTGCTACGAAACTTGGGTAAAATTAACACAAGCCAAAGTTAATAAATAACATGGATGAAGGATTCATCTGGTCCTACAGAAATGTCTGTACTTTCTTCTCTTTTAGTCAAAACACAGACTTATTTATGTATAATTGTAGAGAATTGTATTTGAGGGTGATTTAGTAAGCTCAAAAAATGTAACAACTATTTAATTAATTATTACAATTTTGGTCTTGGTGACTGTGGTGGACAGCCGCTCGGGCGGGCGGAAATAACGAAACTTAAGGTAGTTGAAATAAATTATTTTTACCAAAAATGCCCAGACCGCTATCAAAAACATAAACTTCAAACTTCAAAACAAAAGGTATCAAAAAGAGTAAAAAACAGACAAAATATAAAAAAAAGGTTGGTCTACCTATCGGCTCCCAACAGTGACCATTTTTATGGAATTCGGTCACAAATAGACCTTTGTCCCATCACTATCACCTAATTCGTTTCTCCTGTAACGGAGGTGGTAATGAAACACGGCGGTGTTTACCGGTCATTACCGGTTATTTACCGATCGGTATCGCATCAAAATGTGCGTATATCATTGCGCTTTTAGGGCTACCGCCTTTTGTTTATTCTATGTTTATTTTTTAACAGGAAACGTATTTTAAGAAAAGAAACCTCTTTAAATACCCTCTATTAATTAGAGAGAGCCATGTTCCTGCAATGGAGACTAAACATAGGTACTTACGGGACTATTCCCACCTCTCGTTCCCACCGCTGCAACTCCTGTGTAACCAGGATCTAAACATACAATGTAGTTACTTAGTTCGTAATAATCTGAATTTGCATGATGAATTAGTAATATATTTTCTTATTAAAAAAGGTTTACTTGTATGTCTCTCACATTTTTATCCAAATATCTTTTTGACAGAAATAAATCCACTTAATATTCGGGCCAGTTTACAGACCATTCAATAAAATAAACGCAATTATGAATCAATTTCGAAGCAGCCCTAACCAACTATGTACTATTGTAGACACCACGTGACAAATAATCACCCTAATAGCGCTAATCGGCCGGCACCCTAGCGCTTAACGATGTCGCGCCTTGTCACAACGATTGGGGGTAGTTTATTTTTATTTTGGGGTTATTAAAATTACATTAAAAGTGTTTGTTAAAGGTTTTGAAAGGTTTTGATTGAATATGGGCCGTGAGTCATGATGACAATTAAAAAATGGAAGTTATACTGTTAAATAAATAAAAGTTGGAATTTCATTAAATGACAAATTATAATTAAATTTCTAGCGACCCGTCTTTGTGGTTCTCTGGTGTAATTTAGATTATTAGTTTACTAAATTTTACAATTCAAAGTTCCCATCAAATCACTTTAAAAACCGCATTAATCAGTTGTGTAGCATAAGGGATTTAAAAACGGAGCAAACATTTCGATAAAGTAATCTAATTAAAAAAATACCTACGCATACAATATTAAGTATAGTATACTTTTAGTGCAGTGTATCTATCCCATAGAACTCTACAAATTGGCTTTTAAAAGCTTTTCGGTTCGAAGGAGAAATAAACAGCCATTCTTCAATCCTATGAAACTTGTGCATTAATTTCATTTAATGATACTGTGGCATCTTAAATGCTGTTGAATTTGGCGCTATTTTGCAGCAAAAATGTGCTTGACTGTCCAAATAGTTAATTTGTCCCCCAAAAGTACTAACGCCTGTATTCACAAACGATGCTTGCTTAAGTGAAGCAGAAAATCGAACGCACAGCGTTGAATAGAGCTCTGATTGGTTCGTGTGTAACCCTGTGCGTCCACGCGCAATAATTTTGTGAATAAAACTCATTTATTTTTGCAAATAGGCTTTTAAAAAGCACTTTAACACGTCCCTATATTAACCCTACCACTGCTTCGGGACAATTAATGGGCCAGTGCTGAGAATAATACGGGCGTAAGTTAATTTCCCCCCAAAAGTGCTAAGTATCATTCACCCCAGCAGGTGTCTACATTGACAACTGTAACCGATACTGCGAACAATCGCTCGTTGTGCTATACCACCTGCGCGCGCACCGTTAACGTTTGTTTGGCTAGAATTACCCTTTAAACTAACATTTTGAACTTTACTTGCCGTTAGTGATGGACCAACACGGGTGAAAGAAACTTGAGAGAAATTCATCTGAAATTGACATTATTTCGTTTCACCTGTCCCGTTTGTCTGTAATGTTCATTTAGTTAGGAAGAGGATTGAGTTATGGTCGGTAAAATGACAGATTTTAAAGTGAGATATAATTTTAAGTGACCCATATGGTAACAAATAACAGGAATTTTGCTTTCATTGGGGTCACTTAAAAATTAGGGATTGATGGTGAAAACGGAGACCAATGGGTCTCAACTGCAGGGGCAAGCCTGTCTAATTTACTAAAGGTAAGTAGAAAATTTGAGCTCAAGCTCCCCATGCTTGGCCCAAAGGTCTGGGGAGGCTGGTGCTCGCATGTTTGTCCTTAACGCGCCTTTTACGACATTCTTGGGAAGAGTGGTGGTCCTATTCTACTCTGCTGGACCAACATGACTAAAAGTGCTTTCCTCAATGCTTAAAAAAATTACTTGTAGTATGTGTATTGTGTATTTTTGTTTTATATTTGGATGAAACGATGTATATTTAAAAAAAACCTAAGGTTCTCGAGTGGCGACCATGGGCTGGAAGACGTAGCGTGGGCAGGCCTACCACTAGGTGGTCCGACGATCTGGTGAAGGTCGCAGGAAGAGCCTGGATGCAGGCAGCGCAGGACCGTTCATTGTGGAAAACCTTGGGGGAGGCCTTTGTCAGTGGACGTCATTTGGTTGAAATAAACGAAAGTTCCAGGACAATTTTCAAATAGCCCCTTTTTGTTACAGTGGTCGGCGAGTGGGGAGGCGGTGGCCCCCCCGGGGGCGAGTGGTGGGCCCTAGGCCTTGGGGCAGGGCTGGGGGCTCTCGGGGTCCCCGCGCCCTTGTGGCATGAGGCTGAGCCGGCTGCTGCTTTCAGAGCGTTGCTGCATAGGTAAGAACACTAACAAGTCTGTAATGATAGTAATATTTTTGGTTACGTAAAAATAATTGAGAATGCACTAAATTAAAAGACTTTTCCTAACTTAGGTTAAGTCAAAAGTACCAAGAGATAAAACATCCAGTAAATTAGCAAAAAACAATATTGATGACTAGGCAGCAATGGTCTTTGATCCTAGCCTGTTCCAGAAGGAACGAATTGAACCAAAAAAAAAGATGAGTCAAAAGTATTTTGCTAACATAAACTTATATGTAGGTTCTGTAGCTTGGATTAAATTATTAGTAAACTAAATAATTGAAATTTAAGTTAATTTTGCATCATTTATTAATTTATAAGCTGCCTTATTAGGGACTTACCGAAGGCGTTTTATGAAATACGCAACAAAGACCATAAAATCAGACAGAGCGAACATTCTTTTTTTGTGCAATTCTCAAATTAAAGATCACGCTAAAACGTGAAATATCTGGTTTTACATTGTCATTATTGAATTCTAATCTCAACTAAAGCAAAAATCAGTTATTCTAAATATTGTTCTTATCCCCAGGTACGTCCTAGCCCTCCCCCCTCCAGCGTTGCGCCCCCCAGAACCAGAACCAGCGGCCTCTCCCCCCTCCCCTCCGTCACCATCGTCGTCACTAGCGCGTCTCGCCAGCGCCGAGGCGCTACGGCTGCGCGCTCACGACGCGCTACTCCAAGACCGGGTCACGCTACACAGTAACAGCAAGGTGCACACGTAATATGGACTTTAGTCGGATAAATATAGATCATAGAATCGTGCTACTCTAAGATCGAGTCGCGCTAGTCTAAGACCGAGTCGCGCTAGTCTAAGACCGAGTCACGCTACACAGTAACAGAAAGGTGCACACGTAATATGGACTTTATGTAAGGAGCTTAGAGCGTAGAATCGCGCTACACATTAACAGCTAGGTTAGCTAGATCATTGATTTGCGCTACTCCAAGACCGGGTCGCGCTACACAGTAACAGCAAGGTGCACACGTAATATGGACTTTATGTAAGGAGCTTAGAGCGTAGAATCGCGCTACACATTAACAGCTAGGTTAGCTAGATCATTGATTTGCGCTACTCCAAGACCGGGTCGCGCTACACAGTAACAGCAAGGTGCACACGTAATATGGACTTTATGTAAGGAGCTTAGAGCGTAGAATCGCGCTACACATAACAGCAAGGAAATTGACTTTAATGGAATAAATATTTAATAGAATCGCACTAATCCAAGACCGAGTGGCGCTACATAATAACAGAAAGGTAAATGGACTTTAATGGAATAAATATAGATCATAGAATCACGCTACTCTAAGACCGGGTCGCGCTACACAATAACAGAAAGGTGCATACGTAATTTGGACTTACAATAACAGCAAGGTGCGCACGTAATATGGAATTTAATGGGATAAAATATATAGATCATAGAATCGCGCTACTCTAAGGACGGGTCGCGCTAGTCTAAGACCGAGTCGCGCTACACAATAACAGCAAGGTGCACAGGCATTATGGACTTTAATGGGATAAATATAGAGCATAGAATCGCGCTACTCTAAGGACGGGTCGCGCTAGTTTAAGACCGAGTCGCGCTACACAATAACAGCAAGGTGCACACGTAATATGGACTTTAATGGGATAAATATAGGTCTTAAAATTGCGCTACACCAATACCAAGTAGCGCTACACAATAACAGCAAAGTGCATACGTAATGGACTTTGTGCGAACAGCATAGAGCACAGATTAGCGCGTGCATAGCATGTGTTCGATTATACATTAGAACTGATAATTGTGTATGTGTGGAATCGAATACAGTCTAGTCCTAGTCTAAAAAGAACAAGTATTTTTTTTGTATTACAATATTTAGATCATTCTGCAGAAAAGTGCATAATAAAATCGCAACGCAATCAATAAAATGTAAGCATAATTAAGATTGTTTAAAACTTTTTAAAGAACCAACAGTCACGAGATCTCCAAGCTCTGTAAAATAAAAAAATAATTAAATTGACAACATTATAGAAATAGATTTAGTAACATTGCTTTTGGAATCAAAAGAAAAATGAGAAATTCAATAATATCGATTTAAACCTTCGCCAAACAAATCGCTTGACAACGCACTATAGCACCACGTTCTGCCTAATCGCTGTAGCGTTGGCGTTCTGCCACATCTCTGTAACGTAACTTTAAAGTTCTGCCATCATGAAATAGCACTTTCTCACACTGCACCGCGCTCCTCATTATAACGAATCCCGCGCGTATACGCGTTTTCAGTGTGTTGTGCCGCGCGTGTTTTCTATACAAACTGAGGTACTTGCATATAATTATTAAATCTGTCGTCCCGCGTACCGCGGCGGAGCGCGGTGCAGTGTGATAATCGCCTAACTCTTGAAGATGTATTGATAATTATAGCGCTTATTCGAAACGTTCTGTTTGGACAAGGTTTTAATATAGAAAATATTATTAAAATTAGAATCAAATAACGGATAGGTGGTAGGATGAAAATTGGTGTGCGTATTAAAATAAGATGTGTGCCTTACTATTCTGCATTATTTTTCTGTTTATTTATAATGAATTGATAATTTTAAACTGCTTTCTTTTTTAATAATCACTTCTTTCGAAAGATAAGAAATATAATATTTTGTTACCAAAAAATACAGTTTGATTTTTTGTCGATGCTTGGAACGAATTGTGTGGAGTTTATAATAATTATGTACTTACCTAGTTAAGGATTTGTAAAATAACGCTGACTTAATCATTCCTTTAAACAAAGATTTGTTATTAAACATTCCTACTTAATCATTCCATTCCTTGCATAACTATATTTTATCCAATTGTACTTATTTTGTTTTAAATAATTTTATTCTTATGATATTTCTAGTTTTTAAAGTTTACATAGTTTATTATTTACAAAATTTACCATCAAAGCGCACTGTCTGTAAATATTTACTTAAATTAATGTAAATAGTGTATATTAAAGTAATAGAATTCACCATATGTAAGCAATTTACGATAAGTTACATTCATAAAATTTTACAGAATGTCAAGGTTGAGTAACTTTATTGTTGTGAAAAATATATATTTTGACAGTGAATTATTATTTCAAGAACGCTGACATTCTGTATAATGATGACGTAGTTAATATTATTTATTTATTGAAATAGATGTAGTAGTTTGCAATAACTTATCAGTGTACTAAAATAATAAACATGTGATGAATTTAAAAAAGAATATTATTTTTCTTCCCCTTCCTATAGTTTTCCTTTTTTTTTAATCAGATACTCATAAAACTTTTGAAAGAACTTTTACACGTCCCAGTATTAACCCTACCACTGCTTCGGGACAATAAATGGGCCAGTGCTGAGAAGAAGCAGCGCAAGAAACGAACGCCAGTATTCACAAACATTACTATGAGGTCTCACAGCGCGTGTGGACACACAGGGTGACACATGAACCAATCACAGAGCTCTATTCAACGCTGTGTGTTCGATTTGCTGCTTTACTTAATGATAGATCGCCCGGAGTCCTGCCAGCAGGACTTAAAGTACTTCCGGTAGGACGCAAAATTAAAAGATCACAGTTTCGTAAGTATACATTGTACAAATTTCAAATTTACACGAAAAAATAGAGTGTTTCTCTCTCTTTCACCCAATAGTGCCCAAGATCGAAAAACGCGACTAACCGTTAGTCGGAGCCCGATGGCGCACGAGCATACACGGGGGCAGCGCGTTCGCGCTCGCGCGACACATTTTGACGCGCCGGGCGTGGAGTCGGCAACATTTTGGCGATAATATTATAATGAATGTGAAGTATTCCAGCCTAATCAAACATTTATAATTTATTTCTTGTTTTTGTTTTTAATTTGTAGTGTATTTGTAAGTGATAGGTGTAATTTCTAATACAAAGTGACGTACCAAAGTAATTAATTTAAAGTTCCTTATTATAGTTCCTATTAGTTAAGTTGAAAGAAGATAAACAAGTTTATAATATATTAAGAAAAGTAAAATACTGGTTAAACAAAATGATTCTACGACATGACTTTTTATTTAATAAACACTAACCAAGTGTTTACTACTTCTGGTGAGGATGAGTTCAAATTTGAAGGTCACCGTACTGCTGGAAGGACCAGCAAGCAAACACGTACAAATTGCGTACTGCGGGCAGGACTTGCGATAATCTTCTGGCAGGACGTTTAGAACAAAAAAAAAAGGAGGTTGAACAGAAATCATGAAGATGAAACACTATCGAGAAAATGTTTGCGCACATGAAATTTAAAGGTGGACTTGCTGGGAGCCTGCCTGACGTTTTCAGGGAGACCGTTCCAAAGACGAATGGAATGTAGAAGAAAAGAGTTGGAAAGAAAACCAGTACGGTGAGAAGGAGTGGAAAGAAGAAGCGTATTAGAGGAACGAAGTTGACGAGAGTGAGTTGAACTGAGGAGCGTATATTGGGATTTTAGGTAAGAAGGAGAATTTGGATTGTTTAAGATTGAAAAAAGTGTTAAAAGGATTCTGACTTTTCGTCGAAAAGGTATAGGTAACCATTGAAGCTTAGACCGGAATGAGGAAATGTGGTAACACCTATACAGGGTGTTAGGTAAATGGGTATATGAGCCGACATTAGCCCATGTTAACATGGTCAGATAAATGGTATGGTGAAGTCAGAAAATTGATATCTTCATTTTAATTATTTTAATTTTCATACAAATCGGATTTTATAAAATTTATTTTGTATGAAAATTTAAAAAATTAAAATGATGATATTTAATTTCTGACTTCACCATACCATTTATATGACCATGTTAACATGGGCTAGTGTTGGCTCATATACCCATTTACCTAACACCCTGTATAAATAAAAATGAATTGATGTTCGTTAGTCTGATTAAAACTCGAGAACGGCTGGGCCGATTGAGCTGAATTTGGTTTTAAAATGTTTGTCGTAGTCCAGGGTAGGTCTAAACGGTGAGCAAATACGCGCGCGATATTGTTTTTCTGTGATAGACAAAATTCCACGCGAGCGAAGCCGCGGGCGGAAAGCTAGTTTTATATACAAATCATACTCATTGGTTGTTAACTATAACTATTGGACATAATAAATAAAGGCAAAGACTTTAAATTTGGACAGTGAAACTATCTTGAAAACAGTGACTTTTATTACCTAAGGTCAATCGTTAGTTCTGCATGGGTTACCTAGTACGTGAGTGCGACAAAGGTTACATCGAATTTTGTTTCTTCGAAAACCTTTCTGCGAAGTTCTGTACCTTTAACAATCGAGGATATTTCATACGGAATCGCAATCTGTAGTAGTATCCCAATCAGTGTTTTCTACCAAAACCTCTCAACACTCCCATCTCTCTTGCTCCCGCTACAATCATCTCACGCGTAAAAGAGACATGTAGAGTCGAAACAGAATACGTTTTGCGTAGTAAACCCTGGAAGATTAAATTTGCTCCTCTCTCGATAGCTCCACAAAGAACTTAAGTGTTTGAAGGAAGATTAATTTCGCTGAAATTTTGGGTAGTAATCCGCTGGGTGAAATTTTTGTGTATGCTATAAAGTGCGTAGTCGGATTATCATTTGGGGGTGGCAGATGGGACTAAGCCCCGTTATGAAGCGACACTTAAGTACGGTTTTACACTCAAGAATAGGTTTGAATACAGTAATTGAACGTAATATTAAAGTTCAACTAAACACAGGTTTCAATTCTACTTCTATAATATTATACATGCGAAAGTTTGTGAGGATGTAACATTTGCATCTGTTTCAACAATAATATTGTTTAAACCGATAAGGTGGACCGACGACCTCATAAGGTAGCGGGAAGGTGCTGGATGCAGGCCGCCACCAACCGGCCATTGTGGAAATCATTGGGGGAGGCATATGTTCAGCAATGGACGTCCTATGGCTGAAAATGATGATGATGATAATTAATTGTTAAAACACCAGAACTATACAGGGTGGAAACGATAAGTGATCTCACTCGATTATTTCTAAACTATACAAGATATCCAAAAACTGATTACTGATCCTGAAAGTGCTTCACGAGCTCTATTCAACGGTACATTACACATTAATAAGTTATAAAATAAACTGTATCTATCTGAAAATTCAATGTTTCCAGCTTCCATACATTTAGTACTGCCACAGTCATGACACTCATGTCTTGATAATAATATTATAGCAAGTAAAGCCTAAAACCAATGTTTTCCATGAATAATTTTATTTATTTGTTTATTTATTTATTTACATACACACACATTTACTATTGTTACAGGCTAACCCAATATAATAGTAGTGCCAATATTTTACCATAATTCAAATAATAATAATTAGATTACCTACATCATACATTTTCAGAATAAAATAAAAATAAATAGAATAAGAATATTAGAATGCCATTTACGAGTTAGTTTTAAGTGTTTATAATTTAAAATAAAAAAAATACACTTCTAATATTGTGTGGCTGGCATAGTGGCAAACATTTAGTATGGAGGCTGAAAACATTGAATTATTTTCGAATAGATCCAGTTAATTTTGTAACCTATTACTAATATCGTTTGAAAGAGCTCGTGAAGCACTTTCAGGATCAGTAATAAATTTTTCGATATCTTGTATAGTTTAGAAATAATCGAGTGAGATCACTTATCGTTTCCACCCTGTATACATATAGGCTATTAGCTACATTACAAGTTTGAAAACAGTGTCATCAAGGAATTCATTATTTCTGTGAAAAACTGAATTTCACGACTCTGCGGAAAAAAGCTGGTAAGTAAAAAAAATAAATTTTTTTTGACTTAGGAAATTTTTAAAAGAACTCAAGGACTATTAAATCCAAGAAAAAAAGCTTAAAAAAAGCGACTAAACAATAATTTGAACTAAAAGATCCAACTATGAAACACCATACCTACCACAAGAAAAGTAGGTAAAACAGCAGCGAATAGGAAAGTGCGTTGGAAAATACCAACTCATTGGATAAAGGGACCGTGTACAGAGCAGAGCGGAGCTATCTTGGCTATCTTGCTCTTTATGCTGGTGCTATTAAGGGTCAGAATAGCTGTGCTCTTGTGCCGGTTGTATCGAAACCTTAATTCAATTATCGACTGGGCGTGTTGGGAGGCGTTGGGAGGGACTCCAAGGTCGGTCACTTATGTTCTGGAGTAATTGGATAAGTGGTTTACATTGGGTCGAGTTTTCATGCTTTTTTTTCATTTAGGTACCTATAGTTCTTGCTACTCACAAAGGCGAGTGAGGTTTACTTTTATGTGTACGTGTACATGCACATAATGATAGTGTAATCAAAACTTTTGTAAAGAACAGTAGCGAGCCGCCACACATGTAAAGCTCACTCGTCTTCGTGGATTGCAACAACTATAGGAATTTTTGATACCTAATTGATATAGCGACATTGTGAATCATACATAGTGTAGTTCACCACTAATTTTAATTGAGTCATCTTAACCCTTAACTGGTATCGTGGGGGCCGCGCGGCCCCTCACGCATGACGTTTTCTTTGATTTCTAAGAAGCTACGCATCGTGGGCAGTCAAAATTTTTGGTATTCTCATTTCGGCGCTACTCGCGTCTGGTGCAGGCGTTTCAGCACTGTATCATTCACCAGGACGAAGATATGCACGTGTTGGGGTCCGCGCGGCCCCCACAATACCAGTTACGTTAGTTTTTTTTTCATGGCAATTTTTATTTGTTTTTTGTTTTCTTGCAGTATTGATGGCTTATTAGTGATAAAACAATAGAAGATACCTAGAACGAAGTTTTTGATTCCAAATTAGTGATTAGTAGCATGTCAGAAGAAGGATATAGTGATAATAAAATTATAGGCCATTGTGAAGACCCAATAACCAATATTCGGTCGATAATGAGGATATTGATTCTGATTTTCAAGTTTTTTCTTCAGAGAGTGAAAATGAAGATGTTGTAGGACCTAGTCAATCCAGCTACTATGAAAAAATAAATACAAGTGGTCTGAAAATCCACCAGCACCTGCTAATGTTTGTCAACATAATATTTATGTTTTTATTTTTATAAAATGCTTATTATTTTTATTAAACATTACATTAAAACTTTATTTATTATTAAGTTCACATTATTATGGATTCATTAAAATAATAATATTTATGATTATAGCTTTCTAAACGTAGGTTTCATAGATATTTGTAACGTTAAAAAAATATTACGTAAAAAGTTGTTACTATTATGTAATGTCTTGAAGTAAGAAGATTAATTACAATAAAAACTAAATGATTACATAGAAAAAGCCTGATATATATCATTTATGAGCATTTATTCAAGTATATAGGTAAAACATGCTTGCTAGAAGCAAACATAGTATGGGGGCCGCGCGGCCCCCACGATACCAGTTACGTTTGTCCAATTTACGATACCAGTTAAGGGTTAATATGAGCTGTCAAAATGCGACTCTCGCGTCCATTCTGTACGCCAAAGATGTCATATGACGTCACAAATTGTCGTGTCGGGTTTGTACTGTAATCACTTAAATTCTTAAGTAATTGGATAAATACTTTACACTTTCGAGTTTTCATGTTATTTTTTTCGTTGAGGTACCTGCGTCCAGCGCCTTCCTGCTTTATGAGATCGTTGGTTCACACCTTGTGGGTGGACATCCTACGCTGAGCTTTCCGGTACGTGGCCTCTACTCCAGAACCTTGCTGCCTTATCGGCCGTCAGTTCTGCATACTGCCCTGTCCATTGCCACTCCGTCGTGCTACGTCAGCGACTATAGTTCGTTTAAGTAAAGAGCTTTATTAAGGTTAAATTTATAAATAAAGGGGTTAAACATCGCTCCACAGAACCCTAAACCGAAGCACAAATCAATACAGTCGCTAAGCGCTCCACTCGAACGCTTCGACATGCATTACGCGCCATTATTCGATGAAAATCTTTTAAGATGAATAAAACTCTATCGAAAAACGCGTCAAGCATTCGCCAATTACACTCTCCAAGACATTTCCTCTACAATGAACGGCAATCCCCCCCGATTTCCCATTTGCCACCCTAGGGGGGCATCTGGGAACAATAAGTAACAGTTTAAGAAGATTACGGGGGCTGTATGGCGTTAAGGAGATCGGCGAAACAGTATTAAGGCTGGAGTTTGATGCGGACAATGCTGGTCAGTTGGATAGCTTTGAAGTTGTATTACATTATGGATTGTATTTAGGTATGTAGTGGAAAGATTGGCAAGGTATTTTAGAGTTGAACTACTTAAGAGCAACTTTTGCCCGCGGCTGCGCCCGCATGAAATTTAGTTTGTCACAAATTGTTATAAATCTCAACCTGTATGTTATCTATCTAAATATATTAGACTTATTACTATACCGTTTATGTGAATGATGAAACTTTAGTTACATTAAAATCCGTCCAGTAATTTTTGGATGATAGATCAACAAAAGGCATCCGTCCTCACAAACCTTCACGTTTATATTATTAGTAAGATTAGATTCTATAAGGGTTTCCCTTGCGATGATTTCTATAAATCGCTTGTTTGCTATTCTGACGTATAAAAGAGTAAAATCTATCCATTTATCACAAACTATCTGTTGATTATGACCATGTTACCTAGATATTCAGATTAAGCTTGGTTGCACACATAATAATTTCTAAACTCACCCTGTATAAGCAGTTTAATCTCTTATTAAGTTCCTAACCGGTTTAGCCCACCCCGCCCACTACCCGCCTACGGTTAACTAAGTTACCAAGTTAAACTTAACTTGTTTACTTGCTGGGGAACATGACCAAGATTAAAGGTAATATTGNGGAGGCCTGCCCACGCTACGTCTTCCGGCTCGTAGTCGCCACTCAAGAACTTAGGTAGTAGGAATCAATCTTCTACTTTGAACTTGAGAAGGGTAAGCGGAAACATGGCGGTCAACTCCTCAGATTACAAAAGTACAAAAATGTCCAGAAGCAGCATACGAAAAGATGCAAAATGGGCCCTCTCAAATCACAATGGGAAGGTTTGGCAGCACAGCACCTAGAATGGCGGGAGATTGTGTTGTGTAGAGGCGAGTCCGCGAATTTAAGGAGCAGCGCACAACTGAACTCGACGCAAAACGCGATGATATAAATCCCGTCCATCTGCCGCCATTCACTATAATTATGTTGGCGGCGGGTACTCTCAATGTGCGAGGAGTTTGCCGCGAAGATGGGCTATGTAAGCCATCTTCGGGCGCACCAGCGCCGCTAAGATAGCTAAGTCACCATGACCGAAATCGGTCGGATGAATCATCGTCATCAGTAGGAATCAAAGGCAGGCATAGCTGCAAGTCTCGGATCAAGTCCAATGCTTGATCTTATTTTTTGATTGAATTATGGATTTTTTGGATTATCCGTGTCAATGGGTTTAAATAAACCGGTTTGTCATGTAGCAAAGGTCTGAGATTTTTCTTATCAGTTCACATTCATGTATTACCGGACCTTATAAGCGGAGAACACTTTGAGGGAGGTACTTTGTTGCCTTCCAGAGGTTGTGGTTCCCATTTGCATTCCGAGACATATTTGCCAATCTCTGTGTGAGTGATTCGCTTAAAGTATAGTCCAATCGTGTGGGTTGTCTGCCAGACGAAGGCGGGTATTTTTTTCTTGACAGCTAGAGGGACCGGCGCCTCTCGCGATCAATTATTTACTAGACCAAGCAGCAACTGGAATAATGTACTTAATTAACTGTTACTACTGCGAAAAAATTATGACAACCACATAATTTACATTAACTCAGACAGTCAGGCCGCGCTGATGGCCTTAAACTCCAACTTAATCACCTCAAAGTTGGTAGAAAACTGCATGAGTCGACTGAATACCCTAGAACGTAACAGAGTAACGCTGAGATGGGTTCCAGGCCCAAGTCACGTGGGAATCGTGGGCAATAAAAATGCCGACGAACTCGCCAGAGCGGGAGCGGAGAGAACACAATATGGTCCAGAACCCTTTTGTGGCATTCCCAAAAGTCTCGCTCGAATGACCCTGGAGAACATCTATTTAAACAAATTCTTTAAGGCATGGTCAGACACGCCAGGATTAACTCATTCCAAAGCTCTCATAAAAGCCTATGACCCAAAATGCTCTAAGCAGATCATAGGACTGAGTAGGATCAAAATGCGCATCTTAGTTCGACCCCTAACTGGACACTGCAGCTTAAACAAGCACTTGTCCATTATGGGGCTGTCCGAATCAAGAACGTGCAGGATGTGCCAAGAGGCAGATGAAACGCCACTACACATTCTCACGGACTGCGGTCCTTTGATGCGCAAGCGGAGCTTACACCTGGGCAAACACATCCTAAGCCCACAAGATGTAAAACATATCGCCCCCCAAAACATACTGCAATTCCTAATGGATGCAGGACTCGGAGGCGAACTGTAAGGAAAATAGCGCCGATCACAATAGATCGGTACCGGTCGCAGTGATACTAGGACTTTATTGAAATAGAATAGCCGCTCAACTCAATAAAAAAATAGTTCTTCTGCGTTCGAAACACAAATTAGTACAGTATAGAAGAGGAATAAATTGCAAATAGTTGGTACAGTATCAGTATCGGCGCGCCGACAGCTGGTCGTCGGCGGCGGCGGCGTGAAAAAATTCGCGGCGGCGGCGGCGCGCCGGCGTGGCGCCCACCTCTAAATTAAATGCATTAATGATGTAAGAAATATTTTTACATAATAAAACTTCCCTTGATTTACGGTTTCAATTTATCATATTATTAAGTTCAGGCTTACGTAGCAAGTTTTAAGCTTTTACAAATGTGACTGTACAATATTTGCGTCAGTTTTTCTTCAAAAAATATCTTAAAAGACTATTCCCACCTCTCGTTCTCACCGCTGCACCTCCTGTGTAGCCAGGATCTACAGCTTGACCGCCAATAAAAACCAAACTAGCGAAGGTAAAGATTTTCCCACGGGGAGCTAAAAATTGAACTGAAAATCATATGATTCTTGCAAGCAGTCTTTTAAAAAGCACTTGATAAGGAGGTTATTTTGCCAAAGCACGATTACTAACAACAATTTCTTTTGCAGGTGTGGTTCCAAAACCGACGGGCAAAATGGCGCAAGCGGGAAAAGGCTTTAGGCAGGGACCACGCTCCCTTCATGCACCATGACCATGGTAAGATGCCCTTTTATGGACGTAGCACTTGTCAATCCGGAAAGGGATCGTAACCGTATCAACTCGAGGCGATCAGTATTCTTTGTATGAAACTCCATACTGCAACGCACACTTATCCGCACCGTAACGTAAACGCCTCGCCTCGCGGTTGACAGCTCGCGAAAGGCGATACGGTGTTGATCCCTTTCCGAGTTGATAAGTCTGATATGACCTTTACACGTTTAAGCTATCATCATTATACAGGGTGGAATTTTGTAATGCCACCTGTAGGGAAAGTACTCTTAATACTGTAGATAGAAAATTTTACTCGAAGGAAACATTCCTTTATTTTTGAAAAGAAATAGAACTGCATTCAAAGAATTCTAAAAATTTGTTTGCCACACCCGGGAATCCAACTACTAAAATTTGTTAAAAATTACACCCTGTATTTTTATTGCATTGATCGTTAGGGTTTAGTATAAGAATGAAATCTCTCTAACAAACTTGATAAATCAAATGAAAGGAAAACCATGAAATCTTGAGTTATTTTCATTATGTACAGAAAATTGTATGGTAGTATATGATGGATAGTAGAGAATTTTCTAAAAAAATTCAAAAATCTTTGAATGTAGTTCTCTTTCTTTTCAAAAATAAAGGAATGTTTTCTTTCAGTAAAATTTTCTATCTACAGTATTAAGAGTACTTTCCCTCCAGGTGGCATTACAAAATTCCACCCTGTATATTTTATTTAGCCTCCACTTCAGAAGCACGATACCCTCTCTAATTTAGTTGAGGCTAATGCAGGATTTCTGCGCTGCTAAAGCAGAATGCACATCAAACAGAGAACGGGCAGCAGCGCTCACTAAATTATTAGTCTTTTAAACTGCGATTTCCAACCCGCCTGCCAAGCGTGGAGATTATGGCAAAACCCTCCACTATAGTGGAGGAGGCTCATAGTCCAGTGGACTGTTAAGGGCTGTTGATGATGATGATGAATGCAGGATTTGGCGTACACTACCCATGCTGACAAGACTCGTTAGGGAGGACTGATGTTCGCTTATTTGTCACTTATGCCCGTTTTCCCAATGAAAATAAAATTCCTGTTATAAGTTACCATAGTACTACTTAAAAGTTATTGATTGGTGGTGAAAATGGGCATTAGTCGCCTTTTCCCACACCTGTGGGAAAAGTTAGGTGGAGTAACTAGTCCTACTCTAGGCTAAACAATGCTATTTTTTATTAATTTCCTTGTGGTGTCTTTTCAATGGAATTGACTTAGTTTTGACGGGTTGAATTTCATCACGATCATGTAATGTCTAGCTTACTCGTTATAGTAACCACAAAAAAAGTGATTTCAGACGAAGCGTTTCCATTTAAACCAAAAATAAAATAAGTTTCGTAATAACTTACTCCCACTAAAACAATTAAAGGCTGTCGCTAACTATACGTCATTAGTGATATCCCACAAAAATCACGTCACCTATCGTATAATTACAGTGACACAAAATACTTTTAACGTGTTTAGTTCGCCGTTATTGGTGTTATTTTGAGCGTTCATAAATATCGGATTATACGTTATAATATTTGGAGTAGAGATGGGACGTTCGGATTTCGGTATCACCTAAACTGCTTTTTATAGCACTTTGATTTAAAAAGATCGTGTGTTCTGAACTCGAGTTTGTGTCGCCGACTGTTTGTCTTAAAAGGACATTAATTACACTTTAGTATTATAGCAATTTATCATTATAAAAATAAGTAAATTTAAAATTAAAATTCGCCCTTAAATAAACGTGGATGGTGTATTACTTCTCTTTTAGTTCAAGCAGAGACTTATTTATGTAGAGAATTGTATCTAAGGGTGATTTAGTAAGCTCAAAAAATATAAAAACTACAAAATTTATAAATACAATTTATGTCTTGCTGGTAGTTTATGACCATTTTTATGGAATTCGGTCACAAATAGACCTTTGTCCCATCACTACCATCTAATTCGTTTCTCCTGTAACGGAGGTGGTAATGAAACACGGCGGTGTTTACCGGTCATTACCGGTTATTACCGGTTATTTACCGATCGGTATCGCATCAAAATGTGCGTATATCATTGCGCTTTTAGGGCTACCGCCTTTTGTTTATTCTATGTTTATTTTTTAACAGGAAACGTATTTTAGGAAAAGAAACCTCTTTAAATACCCTCTATTAATTAGAGAGAGCCATGTTCCTGCAATGGAGACTAAACATAGGTACTTACGGGACTATTCCCACCTCTCGTTCCCACCGCTGCAACTCCTGTGTAACCAGGATCTAAACATACAATGTAGTTACTTAGTTCGTAATAATCTGAATTTGCATGATGAATTAGTAATATATTTTCTCATTAAAAAAGGTTTTCTTGTATGTCTTCCATTTTTACCCAAATATCTTTTTGACAGAGATAAATCCACTTAATATTCGGGCCAGTTCCTACAGACCATTTAATAAAATAAACGCAATTATGAATCAATTTCGAAGCAGCCCTAACCAACTACTATTGTAGACACCACGTGACAATATCGATAGTTAATAATCACCCTAATAGCGCTAATCGGCCGGCACCCTAGCGCTTAACGATGTCGCGCCTTGTCACAACGATTGGGGGTAGTTTATTTTTATTTTGGGGTTATTAAAATTACATTAAAAGTGTTTGTTAAAGGTTTTGATTGAATATGGGCCGTGAGTCATGATGATATTTCAAAAAGAAGTAATATAAAATTGAAATTTAATTAGATGACAATTTTATTATAATTTCTAGCAACCCGTCCTTGGTATTATCTGGTGTAACGTAGATATTTAGCTTATTAAATGCATTAATTGGAGGATTCAAGGGGTTGAATCTCTCTATCTTATTATTGAAAACCAGATGAAATCCGTTGCGTAGTTTAAAAGGTAAGCGTACAGAAAAACGGAGCGATATCTTAGATTTCAACAAAGATACCCAACGCTAAAAATGCCCGTCATTTTGAAGTATAAGTTACCTATGTGTATTATTAGGTTGTGTAACTTGATGAACTCTACAAATAGGCCTTTAAAAGCCTTTATTCAGAAAATAAATGACTTTTATGACTCATTAACTAGTTTTTCATCGGTTTGAATAAGAAATTATCACCCATCCTTCATACGCCCGTATTCACAAACGATGCTTGTTTATGTGAAGCAGAAAATCGAGCGCACGGCGTTGAATAGAGCTCTGTGATTGTTCATGCGTCACCCTGTGCGTCCACGCGCACTGTGAGACCTCATAGTAATGTTTGTGAATAAAACTCATTTATTTTTGCAAATAGGCTTTTAAAAAGCACTTTTACACGTCCCTATATTAACCCTACCACTGCTTCGGGACAATTAATGGGCCAGTGCTGAGAATAATACGGGCGTAAGTTAATTTCCCCCCAAAAGTGCTAAGTATCATTCACCCCAGCAGGTGTCTACATTGACAACTGTAACCGATACTGCGAACAATCGCTCGTTGTGCTATACCACCTGCGCGCGCACCTTTACAGACCTAACGTTTGTTTGGCTAGAATTACCCTTTAAACTAACATTTTGAACTTTACTTGGCGTTAGTGATGGGCCAACACGGGTGAAAGAAACTTGAGTCTAGAAATTTTAGTAAAATTTACGTTATTTAGGTAGCTATTATTCACCGTCCCGTTTGTCTGCAATCTTTATTTAGTTAAGTAGAGGATTGATTGAAACAGATAAGTGATATTATCTGTCTTTTTACCCTTTATTAAGAGATCTTTTAAAGGCAAGCATAGTCATTATCACCACAGGAGCACGACCTACTATAGTCTATGGGCAACTAGAGGATTTCGCCTTAACTACTTTCGCTGTCCAGACGAACTGGGGAGGCTGGTGTTCGCATGTTTGTCCTTTACGCGCCTTTTACGACATACTTGGGAAGAGTGGTGATCCTATTCTACTCTGCTGGACCAACATGACTAAAAGTGCTTTCCTCAATGCTTAAAGAAATTATTTGTAGTATGTGTATTTAAAAAAAACCTAAGGTTCTCGAGTGGCGACCATGGGCCGAAAGACCTACCACAAGGTGGTCCGACGGTCTAGTGAAGGTTGCAGGAAGAGCCTGGATGCGGGCAGCGCAGGACCGCTCGTTATGGAAATCCTTGGGGAGGCCTTTGTCAGTGGACGTCATTTGGTTGAAATAAACGAAAGTTCCAGGACAATTTTCAAATAGCCCCTTTTGTTACAGTGGTCGGCGAGTGGGGAGGCGGTGGCCCCCCCGGGGGGGAGTGGTGGGCCCTGGGCCTGGGGGCAGGGCTGGGGGCTCTCGGGGTCCCCGCGCCCTTGTGGCATGAGGCTGAGCCGGCTGCTGCTTTCAGAGCGTTACTGCATAGGTAAGAACACTTTTTAGTACCATAGGAATTTTCTTGTAATGAAAAAAAAAAGATGCCTACAAGGTGGACAGATGACATCGTAAAGGTAGCAGGGAAGCGCTGGACGCAGGCCGCTACCAATCGATTAACGTGGAAAGCATTGGGGGAGGCCTATGTTCAGCAGTGGACGTCCTATGGCTGAAATGATGATGAAAAAAAAATATTTTTGTTATAATAATAACCGAAAGTTTTGAGGAAATTAAAAATATTTTGGTAACATTTACACAAGGGTTTTCCAGATTGGGATGACTTTAAATCTTGACTTTATAGAGACATACTCAGTGGCGTAACTATAGGGTGGCAGGGCTGGCAAAATGCCACGGCCGGCCCACGATTCGAAGGGCCCCAGACTCTAATCGCACCCATAACCCTAGATACGTCAAGGGCCCCATGCACAGAATTTGCTACCTCGGATGGTATTATAGTTACGCCACTGGACATACACAAGGCGGATAAGCAATAATAACCATGTCAGACAGAGCGAACATTCGTTTTTTTTTGTTCTCAAATTTTTAATTTTGAAGCATAAAAATCTGGTTCTACATTGTAATAGAGAATTATAATATCGACTAACGTAAAAATCTGGTATTCTAAATATTTTTCTTACCCCCAGGTACGTCCTAGCCCTCCCCCCTCCAGCGCTGCGCCCCCCAGAACCAGAACCAGCGGCCTCCCCCCCTTCCCCTCCGTCACCATCGTCGTCACTAGCGCGTCTCGCCAGCGCCGAGGCGCTACGGCTGCGCGCTCACGACGCGCTACTCCAAGACCGGGTCACGCTACACAGTAACAGCAAGGTGCACACGTAATATGGACTTTAGTCGGATAAATATAGATCATAGAATCGTGCTACTCTAAGATCGAGTCGCGCTAGTCTAAGACCGAGTCGCGCTAGTCTAAGACCGGGTCGCGCTACACAGTAACAGCAAGGTGCACACGTAATATGGACTTTATGTAAGGAGCTTAGAGCGTAGAATCGCGCTACACATAACAGCAAGGAAATTGACTTTAATGGAATAAATATTTAATAGAATCGCACTAATCCAAGACCGACTGGCGCTACATAATAACAGAAATGTAAATGGACTTCAATGGAATAAATATAGATCATAGAATCACGCTACTCTAAGACCGGGTCGGGCTACACAATAACAGAAAGGTGCATACGTAATTTGGACTTACAATAACAGCAAGGTGCACACGTAATATGGACTTTAATGGGATAAATATAGATCATAGAATCGTGCGTGACATTCCTTTCTCTGCAAGCGAGGTGAACATGGTAAATGGAATAAATATAGAACATAGAATCGCGGTATTCTAAGACCGAGTCGCGCTAGTCTAAGACCGAGTCGCACTACACAATAACAGCAAGGTGCACACGTAATATGGACTTTAGTGGGATAAATATAGATCATAAAATCGCGCTACACAATAACAGTAAGGAAATTGACTTTAATGGAATTTTAGAGCATAGAATCGCGCTACACAATAAAAGCAAGGAAATTGACTTTAATGAGATAAATATAGATCACAGAATTGCGCAACTCCAATTTATGGTTGCGCTACACAATAACAGCAAGGTGCACACGTAATTTGGACTTTAATGGGATAAATATAGATCATAGAATCGTGCACTTTAAAACCGAGTCGCGCTACTCCAAGACCTGGTCGCGCTACACAATAACAGCAAAGTGCATACGTAATGGACTCTGTGCGAACAGCATAGAGCTCAGATTAGCGCGTGCATAGATTGTGTTCGATTATACATTAGCTGACTTGTGTATTGTGGATTCAAATACTGAAGTCTAGTCCTAGTCTAAAAACCACAAATATTTTTTTTGTATTACAATATTTAGATCATTCTGCATCAGAAAAGTGCATAATAAAATCGCAACACAATCAATAAAATGTAACCATATTTAATTTTGCTTAAAACTTTTTAAGGAACCAACAGTCACGATTCACCCAAGCTCTGTAAAATAAAAAACAAATTGAACTGTCAACATTATAGAAATAGATTTAGTACATTGATTTTGGAAACAAAACAATAATGAGAAATTCAATAATATTGACTCAAATCTTTGCCAAACAGATCGCTTGATAACGCACACGTTCTGCCTTATCGCTATAGCGTTGGCGTTCTGCCATATCTCTGTAACGTAACGTAACGTAACTGTAACGTTCTGCCACCATGAAATAGCACTTTCTCACACTGCACCGCGCTCTGATGCGGTCCGCGTGGCGACATTATAACGAATCCCGCGCGTAAACGCGTTTTATCAGAGTGTTGTGCCGCGCGTGTTTTCTATACAAACTAAGGTACTTGCATATAATGATTAAATCTGTCGTCCTCGTCCCGCGTACCGCGGCGGAGCGCGGTGCAGTGTGATAATCGCCTAACTCTTGAAGATGTATTGATAATTATAGCGCTTATTCGAAACGCGTTCTGTTTGGACAAGGTTTTAATATAGAAAAGATTATTAATAATTAGAATCAAATAACGGATAAGTGGTAGGATGAAAATTGGTGTGCGTATTAAAATAAGATGTGTGCCTTACTATTCTGCATTATTTTTCTGTTTATTTAAAATGAATTGATAATTTTAAACTGCTTTCTTTTTTAATAATCACTTCTTTCGAAAGATAAGAAATATAACATTTTGTTACCAAAACACAGTTTGATTTTTTTTCATGCTTGGATCGAATTGTATGGAGTTATTATAATAATATAACTTAGTTAAGAATATGATAAATTAATGATCTATCTGATTTATAAATACATTCCTTTATTAAAAAAATAAATATGACTATTTAATCATTCCATTTGCATTCCTTGCATAACTATATGTTATCCACTTATTTTGTTTTAAATAATTTTATTCTTATGATATTTCTAGTTTTTAAAGTTTACATAGTTTATTATTTACAAAAAATACCATCAAAGCGCACTGTCTGTAAATATTTACTTAAATTAATGTAAATAGTGTATATTATAGTCATAGAATTCACCATATGTAAGCAATTTACGATAAGTTACATTCATAAAATTTTACAGAATGTCAAGGTTGAGTAACTTTATTATTGTGAAAAATATATTTTAACAGTGAATTATTATTTCAAGAACGTTGACATTCTGTATAATGATGACGTAGTTAATATTATTTATTTATTGAAATAGATGTAGTAGTTTGCAATAAGTTATCAGTGTAGTAAAATAATAAACATGTGATGAATTTAAAAAGGAATATTATTTTTCTTCCCCTTCCTATAGTTTTCCTTTTTTTTTTAATCAGATACTCATAAAACTTTTGAAAGAACTTTTACACGTCCCAGTATTAACCCTACCACTGCTTCGGGACAATAAATGGGCCAGTGCTGAGAAGAAGCAGCGCAAGAAACTCAGTTACTATCAGCCTCTTTTTTAAGGGCTATATTTCACCGGGACACCATGGCGGCGCAACCACTCGCCGGCTACCAACAAAACGTATACAGCTCCATAGAGAGTTACTCACTGGTGTCCGTTTGGTTGCGCAAAGCTCGATACATTTTGTTTGTAGCGGCGACTGGTTGCGCCGCCATGGTGTCCCGGTGAAATAGAGCCCAAGGGTTTACAAAATCTTTAAGTTTACAGAATTATAAATATTGATGCGAGCTAAGCAAAATTGAAGAAACCCTTAATAGCAGCTTTAAAATCTTCAATCACACGCAATGAAATCGCTTATGGCACTCGTTTCGCTTGCGAAATACCGATTCTTGTTCCTCTTACCGATTCGTATTGAATCGCTTAAGTTTCTAAAGTTTGTACTTGTAGCAACCCTTGTTTTAATGTTTTACGCCCGTATTCACAAACATTACTATGAGGTCTCACAGTGCGCGTGGACGCACAGGGTGACACACGAACCAATCACAGAGCTCTATTCAACGCTGTGCGTTCGATTTGCTGCTTGACTTAAGCAAGCATCGTTTGTGAATAAGGGCGTGAGAAACCAATATGCAGAACTAAATACATAATTTTGGTCTGACTCGTATTTCCAATGAGCTTTCTACAAAAAGCTTGCAAGCTTCCATCTCTCTCACTCCCACTACAATCATCTCACGCGTAAAAGAGACATGTAGAGTCGAAACAGAATACGTTTTGCATAGTAAACCCCATGAAGATTAAATTTGCTCCTCTCTCGATAGCTCCACAAAGAACTTAAGTGTTTGAAGGAAGATTAATTTCGCTGAAATTTTAGGTAGTAATCCAGTGGGTGAAATTTTTGTGTATGCTATAAACTGCGTAGTCGGATTATGATTTGGGGGTGGCAGATGGGACTAAGCCCCGTTATGAAGCGACACTTAAGTACGGCTTTACACTCAAGAATAGGTTTCAATACAGTAATTGAACGTAATATTAAAGTTCAACGAAACACAGGTGTCAATCCTACTTCCATAATATTATAGATGCGAAAGTTTGTGAGGATGTAATGTTAGTTACTCTATCTATAAATTAATTGTTTATATATCAGAACAACGTAAAGACTTTATGACGATGATTAACTAAAATTTGAAACATAATCATTCATCCAATTATGTAAAAATATTGTAAATAATTTAAAAGAATACAATAGTACGTAAGTTAAAATTTTGTGCAATAAATGTAAGTGTACATAAAGTATATATGAACGGTATTTAAATTTATGTATATATTAAAACAAAAAAAAAACAATAAAAGGAAAAAACAAAAAATACAATAATATACCTAAAAAAAAAATGTTAAGTTCATTTTTAAATTTAAAACCTTGTACATAAATAAATAAATAAAAAATAAAAAAACCTCTAAAGTATGGAGACTACAAGTTTGCTCGTAGACATTAGCGAGAAACTACCACCACTTGCTCTTAAAAAAAAATACATTATTGATTTAATATTCAACAAATTGTTTTGTCTGTAACCGAACTCCGGCAATTTCAGCCGGAGATTAAAAAAAAAATAAAAATAAATAAGCTCTTTTTTTTGCGGGGTCCAATAATGCAGGATCCCGCAAAATTGGATTGTTGTGTGTTTGAAAGTCAAATTACAAATTAGAAGTAGAACGCATTGTTTTTGCAAAAACGTTATTAAAATCGTATCCTAGTTACTAAAGAGGTTCTTGCAAGAAACTGGATCCCTCCATGGAAACAAACCCTAAGTATTTTTTTCTGTGACAAACCGAAGGTAAGTAGGTAATAATAAAAAAAATTCGATTCTCATTCAACAATTTTTCGACCATGTGCCAGGCATTTTATGCTGATGTTTTTTGATTTATAGGCAATTTTAAAACAAGGACTATTGAATCTAAGAAAAGTATTAAATTTTTAAAAAATACTTTATACATTACTTTTCCCAACTATGAAACGCCGTACCTACCACAAGAAAAGTAGGTAAAACAGCAGCGAATAGGAAAGTGCGTTGGAAAATACCAACTCATTGGATAAAGGGACCGTGTACAGTGCGGAGCGGAGCTATCTTGGCTGTTCTTTATGCTGATGCTATTAAGGGTCGGAATAGCTGTGCTCTTGTGCCGGTTGTATCGAAACCTTAATTCAATTATCGACTGGGCGTGTTGGGAGGCGTTGGGAGGGACTCCAAGGTCGGTCACTTATGTTTTGGAGTAATTGGATAAGTGGTTTACATTGGGTCGAGTTTTCATGCTTTTTTTTCCATTTAGGTATAGTACTTGCAACTCACGAAGGCGAGTGAGCTTTACTTTTGTGTGTACGTGTACATGCACATAATGATAGTGTAATCAAAACTTTTGTAAAACGAAGAGTAGCGAGCCACTACACATGTAAAGCTCACTCACCTTCGTGGATTACAACAACTATAGGAGTTTTTGATACCTAATCGATATAGCAACATT